ACAGTAAATAATTGTAATGAAAGCAGGAGTTATCACAATGGGAGCGACGGAGGAAGACCCTGTTGTGCTGTGAAAGACTCTCCAACTCCACTCAAACACTGAAGTCTGCAGTGTTAAAAGCTTGATGACACAAACGTCCAAAGGGAAAGGAGACGAAGCTTCTGAGCTCTGAGCTCCTGTCAGTGCAGCATGATGGAGAGTGACTGCTTTGAATGTACTGCAGTAATCATAAAAATAAAATAAAAAAATGCGTGAGACAAGTCCAGTCAAGACCAGAAAAGTGAAATAAAGGTTATTTACTGTAATTTATCAGAACAGAAGAAGGGTGAATCAACAAAGCCTGTCTGGCCAGCGAGACTGTCTGCATGAGACTACGGTCATCTAAGTGGAGCTCAGAGAGTGTTGTGGTGTATGAATCGATATTGTGAAGGATTAATAGAAACTTGGTCAGACAACCATGGTTTCATGGTAGCCGAGTTGAGTGGAGGACAGGTGAAAGGTGGCAAGTAGGTGGTTTCAACCGAACCGATAATGGAAGTTGATTTTGTATTTTGAATGATGTTTTTTTGTTCTTGTTTTTGTTTTTTCACAAACTGCACCAAGATGCACTTAGAGAGGAAGGCACAATTGACTATTCTTTGGGCAAAGTTCTGCTGCTGGGAAATTTTATGTTTTGCCATACATGTTGATATCACTTGCACGCGTAAAAACTACCGTATTTTCCACACTATAAGGCGCACCTTCAATGAATGGCCTATTTTAAAACTTTTTTCATATATAAGGCACACCGCATTATAAGGCACATAGAATAGACGCTACAGTAGAGGCTGGAGTTACGTTATGCATCCACTAGATGGAGCTGCACTAAACGGAATGTCAACAAAACAGTCCACTCCTGTCGGCGACTGGGCCGGGGCGTGGCCGGACGAAGGTCACCCTTCTCCATTGGCGCACAGCATGTTCGTGGAGAACGTGGTGCTAAATGACCTGCAGATGACGTGATTCTAGACGGTCAGTAGATAGATAGGTCAGTCAAACTTTATTAATAGATTACAAACCAGCGTTCTGACAACTATCCCAGCATGCACCACGCGCTTCTTCTTCTACGGGGAAAATAAAGTCAGCGGCTGCTTATCGTAGTTGCTAGACCTGTTGTGGTTCAGTATTGGTCCATATATAAGGCGCACCGGATTATAAGGCGCACTGTCGGCTCTTGAGGAAATTGAAGGTTTTCAGGTGCGCCTTATAGTGCGGAAAATACGGTAACTAACTATTGTTGCTGAAAATGTCCATCTTTTTGCTAACAGGATATTCCCTGTTGGTCATGGCCTAATAGGGAATATCAACTTGCTAAAAAGAAGTTTTTCTTTTTTCTTTTTTTTTCCCCCCCAAAAAAGTTTAGTACTAGTCTGAGAAGCAAAACAACACATTTGAGGTGTTGACTAGGCCTCCAAATCCCCTACATCTCAGTCCAGTTGAGCATCAATAGGAAGTGATGAGTAAGCATTGACAGAGAAGACCAGAGTTCCTGCTGGCAACACTTTAATACTGGAAACCACACACCTTCAGGGTCCACGCATCAATGAGCCAGGGATGGGGGTTTTTTGCAGAAAATGGGGGCCGACCCACTATTAGACAGTGGATGTGTTTAACGCCAATGAAGGCCTCTTTAGAAAGTCTGATTCGAGTTTTCACATCAAAAGTTTCTCAGCAAAAGAGAAAGGTTGGTGAACTCCATGAGCCAGCTGCAGTGCAGCAGTGTTGAGATTTCAAAGAGGGAAAAAATTGTTTTGATGAGTGAGAAATTTCTCAAAGCGCTAATGGCTTGGGCAGGCAGGGAGCGGCTGCTTTAAAGATCCATTATGGGAGCAGGAGAAAAAGAGAAGTCTGACACTTTGTCTCCACAACATTTGGGAAGGAGAAAAATAACCTGAAACATTATTTTTCATTCAAACGGTTTTAATAGAGCACCCTCCAAATTAATCTCTTAGCTAAAATTACGGCTGGCAAAATAGAATAATGCGGGATTATATATCATCGTCTCTTAACCACCTCAGTTTCATTAAGAGTGACCCAGACTTTAATGTTCTCTTGTAAAGCGATGCTGAAACAACATGTTGAATGTGCGTAATTTCACACACCAACACCAGGCATATAAACAGCTTTGACAGTGTGTTGAATTCATGCAAACTGTTCCAATAACAGGATATAAATGGTTAGTACTAAGTCCATGGCTGGCGTGAAAGTTCATGTCCAATCAGAATGAGACAGGACATGGGTCACCTGTTAGGTGTATAATAAGGAAACATTTCCTCTCTAAGAAAATCACAAAGGTCAGACTAATGTTTGCCAAAGAAAATGTAGACAAAGGCCAGGAGTGTCACAATATTGGTCGTCAGACAGATGACTCTAAAACTGAATTGTTTGGTTATTTTTTATTAAACAGATGTCATGTTTATCATCAAATAAATGCCGCCTGTTTGGACATAACCTCATACAAGCTGTGAGGCACAGAAGTTTTAGGTCTTTAGGTTTAGGGAAGCTTTGCTGCATCAAGACCAGGCAAGATCACCACCTTCTTATTATCAATCTTGAATTCTACCATGCATATGTGACAGAGATTGAGGAAAATGTGAAACCCTGAAAGCCGAACTGAATCCTGCAACATGATTAATCCACCAAACACTGACTGGGAATTAAGAAATGGAGAGTTCTGGGCAGAGTCTGGCTATAAATCACGTTGGCAGCAGGTACAAAAGGATGTGTCCCTAAAGTTGTTCATCATGAAGAGGTTGAATAATTTTGACAACGTAGTAGTCATTAAAAGTGACATTTTGTGTTTAATTTGGAGAAAGAACTTCTAATTCGATTTAATTGCAAATAAATGTATATACCCTTTATTTCTTAAGTGCACCACAGACGTTTTAGTTTACATTTAGTTTTGCAGTGATCTGGAAATGATCACATTTTTGGCTACAATTTTAATTTTTCTTCTTCTCTCCTAAGACATTAACGTCTATTTATGCAAAATCCTTTTAAATTAGTTACTCACACCTCTCCATGATAGCTTGTGAGCACTCTATTTAAGCTTGTTGCTGTGACAAATAATCCGTCGTAGTGGTTCCAGGTTTCCCAGCTGAAACGTATCATCATCATCTCAGTCTTTTCCTTGTGCTGCTTTGCTATTCGGTCTTCTCATCCCTCATTGCCTCACCTCCCTGCTGCTGTAACAACTGTTTCACATTCATTATTTAAACTCACCCGTTCTTGTACCAGGAATCTCTCCTCCCAGTATTTGTAAAGTCCAACAGTTTCTCTTCATGCGTCTCTGCTTTCCTTCATTTTTATGAGCCTAGAGTTGTTTTGTTAGTTTATTTTTCTCCCCGTTTGCCTTCAAATACCAACAAGAATGAGAAAGAAAAGAGGTCCAAGAATGGAGCCTTGAGGTATCATAAAATGAGTGACCAAAAGATTCATTTTACTTTTTAAAAGTAATTCACAGGCATCCCTTTCCCAAAGATTTTTGATTGCAGCAATATAAAAATATATTTTTAGCTAAAACTATAAAAATAGACAACATTTTAATAGAGCTAATAGATTTGGGGGAGATTTTTGAGTTTTTGTTGTTTCTGACTGTTAAAGTGCTGAAAATGAAAATATTTTCAATATGAGGATTATATCAGGGAAAAGAATGGGGGGGGGAGAGAATAATGTTTATTCCTGGGAGAATAAATTATCCTTTTCTGATCAGAAATCACCAACTGTTCTGAACAAAAAGAGGTCAGAGAGCCGAGCAGCTGCCTCAAAATGTGGGGAATTATGTTGCAGAATCCATTAACAAATTATAATAGGGAACACATTTGGGCTTTGTCAATAATATCATGTTTCTGTAAACATATTCAGAATTGAATGCTAGTTAATGGAGTCAGCTGTAGGTTTTGTTTTTGTCCCTGTCAAGTTAAGATGAAATTCACAGCATTTTCCAGAAGATTTAAAGTTTAAAGGGCGTCGTGCATAAAGCACTGGCACACAGCTTGGTCAGTGTTTATGGGGTCTTCGCCTGCTGATCAGCAGAGGGTTTTTTTAATGGCAGAAATGATGCAGAAAAAGCAAATGAATGCGTTTCTAATCGCGTTAAAACAGATGTTGGGTACTCGCGTAGGGCAGCCTGGAAACCTGTCCTGTTTTCAAAAATAAAAAATAAAATTATATATATATATATATATATGCAGTAACAAGTGTTACATAATTACCATCCACAGGTTTTCCAGAGGACAGATGGAGCATAGTTAGCAGATTACTGAAGCTTGAAAAGGAAGATGCTTTCTCTATCCTCTCTTTGAAAATGTGACTGAATTTCTCCAGCACTTCTATATGCTTTTTTTCCCACCTGGTCTTAAATGATACACAAATTTTATCATTTGTAGCACAATGGTAAAAGATCAATGTATTTTTATTTATTTATTTATTTATTTATTTATTTTTGAGTGGATGTGTCTGCAGCAGGTTTGTGTAAGTTAATGGGAACTATCGCCACCTACTGTTCTTTCCTGGGAGAAGAGCAACAAAAAAAATGTATACTCTTACATATAGTAGAAAATGTTGGTGAGGCTGAAAAAAAAATTTCAGGTATCACGACTTTGATCAACGTGAAGAAGATGAGCAAACCAGTGGCAACTTCCCAAAGCAGAGTCCAATTAATTTAGATGAATTAATTGTTTGGCCAAAATGATGTAGCTTTTATTTTTGCTTTAAGTATTTATTCAGTTACATTTACCTGAGGAAAAAAAAACAAAAAAAAACGTACTTCTAGGCCTCCGTTATGTTTCTTGTGAAATCTAACGACTCTGTTACATGAGCAAAAAAAAAAAACTATAAATGCAAATACATAAAGGGTTAAATGATGCCAAAAATGATGAAGTTGACATGCAGTTTGTACAAATCAAACACAGCAATGGCAATTTACAATCATTTTTTTCCTTAAATGAGACTTCAGAGAGTTTTTATTTATGTGGTTTTATTGGAAGATATATGTATAAACAAAATAAACGGCTATTGTATTGCATGGCATGTTAAAGAGATTAACGTGTCTTGTTAATTAGGTCCAAGATCCTAATTACTATTCATTTACAACCATGTGGATTTCGTGATTAAGCCGTAGTCCAATCCACTGTATTCCATCTTTATGTATCCATGCTCATAAATCTAAAAAAAAATCTCAAGTAAGAATTGGAAGAACAACGTTTTTTTGTTGAATTCATCATCTACAGTGGTTCCCTAACTTTTTCTCGTCCAGTTGTGGGCAAGAAGCAATTCAGGGGCAATACAGGGTCTCTGAAAGGAATAGCTTCACCTCTGAAGGCATCAGCAGAACTGAAAGTTAAAAGCAAAACAGAAAGAGAAACAATTTTGAACATGTTTTAGTTTTTTTTAAGTAGAAAAGTTTGCGAATCAGATTAAAGGCCTACCTTCCAGCGGTTGCCACACTCATTGCAGAGGACAAATGTGGTCATCGGCTCATCAGCGCTGCGGGTCTGGACCTGAAAGGAGGAGAGCTACAATGAGTGAAAGTAGTTTGTATTGAAAGTAATAAGTGATAAAGTGGAACGAAAACTTAGAAAAGAACCTGGAGAGGAACAAAGTGAGCAAACGTCTAAATACAGATGAGGAGTGATGAGAGAAGTGGAAACCAGGTGTGTATAATCAACAGACTCCAAAAGAGCTGCGCATGAAGCAAACTGATGAGCCGAGGAGAACAGATTAATAACAAATCTATATGTAAACAATGCAACCAGGGGAAAAAAAATGATGCACAAGGAATAGCAACACAAAAACCAGAATAAATACAGATCCAAACACGACGTTCGGAATCATTACAGGAACCAGACACACTAAAGAGACCAGAAAAACAGAAAGGAGGGCTAAAGAGAAGAAAACAACCAAAACCCAGGCAGGTGGACAGGAGCAAAAATCTCACCCCAGAACAAAGATATTTCAGAAAAAGGCGTCATAGACTGTCAAACTTCCCTGCTGCTTTCAGAACAACGAGCTGTAAGTGACGTTAGCATGCAGTCTGTTCTCTGTCAGAAGAAAGTCCTGGTCATCAGGTTAACTGAGCTCAAGAGAGCTCACCTTTGAACGGCTCCAAAAATACAAAATCTTTCATTTTTAAATGAAGGTTCTGAAAATGTGCACCCCCCTGGCTGAGTTAGAGTTATTCTGCCAACATACAAGGAAGTCTTTCACTTCCTCCACAACAAAGTGAAAGACACAAGTTATTCCAAATGCTTGATTACAGATCATGTTGTTATGAGTGTCATAGTCGGTTATTAGCCTTTTCTCACACGGTCAGGTAGGTGTGGGTAGTTTTTTTTTTCCTCCCCTAAATATGAAAAATCATAATTTCAAGACTTCACTTTGGATTAAATCAGGCTGTCTTTGTCTGATCCTAACATTTGTTTGATGATGTGAAACATTTAGGTGTAACACCAAACAGAAAACCAAAGCTCGGTTCCTCTTTTAATGGAAGCATGGAAGAGGAAGCGACAGCGACTCGTTATCATCATGTCATCTTGCCTCCGTTTCCTTTGTGGCGGCCGGTTTAAGTTGTAAGAGCAGCCCTGTTTACCTGATTGTAGGTGCAGTTCTTCTTCTTGCATTTGCCGCACTGCAGCAGGTCTGTGGTGGTCCCACCGGTTTTGGCCATCTGGTGCTCCCTGATGGCCTCCTGGGTTAGGACGTTCCTCAGCTGCTTCAGCTCATCACTGGCCATTTCCTGGACACGACACAGCGAGCAGGAGAACATGTGGCCTACAGCGAGGACGGAAACTAAAGAGGGGGGGATACTGGATGCGGTTACTGCGTGACGGCGAACTACCTCAGCGGACATGCTGGCGATGCGGCTCAACTCGATGCTGCCAGCCAGGACGTTTCTGCGAAGTCCCGGGTTCTTGGGGTCCTTCAGGTTGCTGATGCGACTCCGGACTCGGTTCTTGTACTTCATATCTGTGGCCCTGATCTCCTGGTAGATATGTGAACTCACGCAGTCAAGGTCAAACAGTAAGATCTACATTTTTATCTACCACCAATTGGTAAAATAAGAACCAGCAGTGTTGAGATGCGAGCAAAGGATATGATCCTCAATCTCTGCTGCCATGCCGTCACAGTTTGCTCCAAAGTCTTTGTAGTCATCTGTGAAACGCAGAGCGAATTAGTCAGCGCAGTGATCACCTCTGCGGTTTCAGCAGTCTACAGAGAGGTTTGAGCCTCACTGTCTGTCCGCAGGGCAGCTGCCAGCATCTCAATGCACTTGTCTCTAACAGAGTCTCCAGTAGCCAGGTGAGGGGACAGAGGACCCCCCGGAGAGCTGAAGCTGGGTGACAGCGGACTGGTTGGGGTGGTGGGAGTTCTGGGCGTTTCGGTTTTACCCTTCCTGTTGGAAAAGAAAAAAGAAAAAAGGATGCGTTAGGACTAAAAAGCTCCGGAAGATTACTCTTCCGATTTATTGAAACAAAGGATATTTCATAAAATGAAAATCACTCACTTTTTTCTTTTCATTTAAAATAAAGTCACACATGGCCAGCGTCATTTGTAACAGTTTCTATCCCAACAGCTAAATACCTTTCCAGGCTGTCAGTAGACGGTTTCCTCTGTGGTTGTCCAAGAGGCTTCGAGCCTAAAGACTCTCTCCTGAGAAACACATCATTGTGCAAACGTTTTAAATCCCTGTAAGAACTAAACTTTACTGTACTCTATTGAAGCGGTCTTCGAATGATGCTTGTTTAAACTTCCTATCCTTTCATCCATCTGAATATCACAGGACACCGTGCAGTATGTGACAGTAGGGGTTCATGAAATGGATGGAAAATCCTCAACACAACTCCAGACTTTTGTCACCCCTTCATGTGATCACCAAATCAATTAGCGCGAGACATTAGCACGCACGGCGTCTACAAATTACAAACCACAATGTTTACCTTTCACTTGATATCTTCTTTGCTGGAGGTGAGCTGCTTCTCTTTGAATCGGTGGACTCGCGTCTACGCAGAGACAAGTTTAGAGTGCATACGGGATCGATCCGAATCCGTCGTTTCGACGTACGTTCTTTATGTTAGATTTACGTTTGGATGCGTTTCGTACCTGACGGATTTGGAGTCAGTGGAATGGCCTTTCGCAGATTGGCTTGGCTTCAGTTCACTGGAATCCTTCCTGCCACAAAAACACCGACAATTAGACACACCTTTCTGTGAAAAAGTGCACATTTGATTCTGCACACACTCCTGCACACCTGTGCTTTTCTTTTTTGGCCTCGATGGCGGGCTTTTTGGTAGAGTGTAGTTTAGAGTCAGAAGAATCTTTCCTGACAAGAAAATGTGAGATTTTGTACTAATTTCAGTTGTAGAGTTTAAGTTGCTAATAATAATAATATGTCAAAGTAGGAACTCCCCACATTCACTTTGACATGCACAGTTGATGAGCTTCCAACCTTTCTCTCTTGGCGTCATCTGACAGTTTCTTAGATGCTTTGCCATCATCTGAATCTTTCCTGTTAAATTAAAATAGCTGTAAAGAATCACTTCAACTGCAGAATACCTGCAGATAAATTCATTCCGGAAATGGCTTTCAATTTATCACAGGAAACAAGCGATAAAATCTGAAATCACAGATCAGATCGGACTAATATTGTCACAAATACACGTCGGGGTTTAACAGAAAGCAGACCTGTCCTTCTTCACGCAATCTGCGGACTTTTTCTGCGGCAGAGGCTTCGAGTCCGAGGACGACTTCCTGCTGCTGCAAACAACACAAGGATTCAACTCACAAAGAGGGAAACTCTGTGTTGAATTGTACTGTGTCGTCCTTGATTGTTTCACTCTGGTACGTCAAGGCAGTAACATCTGGCCCAGACCTCTCTCTGTCCTTGCCCCCGTCCACAGAGGGGCGCTTCAGAGGAGCAGCGGGAGGGTGGAGGTGGAGCGGGAGCGGAAGAAGGGGCGCGTTGGGATCAGGAGGCTCTTTTCTGAATGACACAAACACTTTTCAGCCACTTCGGAATGAAGACGACGCGACAGATTTCTGCACCACTCGTACCCCTTGAACGTTTTCACAATTTCGCCACATTACAACCCCAAAGTTGGGGTTTTCCGCTACGCGTGATGTTGTGTTGGTCTGCGACGTGCAGACGGACGAGTTAGATTTGACCTTTTCACCGCCTTTTGACGAAGCTCACTTTGCTAAATACGTCGAGTCTGAATGCCTGTCAATACGTCTCGAAAATGTATTTTTAATAAATCATTGCATTTTGCAAAGTTAGAAAATTAAAAACCTTATAACTAAACGGTAAGTCAGAGTTTTAATATTGATTATGAACTGTGTTAAACCTTAATGGCTTAGAAAAATGGCAAAATGAAAACGGACCGATCGTGACCTCTGGTGTCTGAAGTGACGGGTTGTAGTTTGGATTTTCTCCCTCAGGTTTCAGGATATGGATAAAAATAATTGAACCACATTGTTTTTATGAAGCAGCTGTCAAATTAACAGGCCTCTGATTGGTTGTCGGGAAAGCAGAGACCCATGAGGAGTTACTTTGGGACAAACAGAAAGAACCAGAGTCCGTCAAGACAAGACTTGCCCTGCCTGGTTAGAGAAGGCTTGTAAAACTTGGCTGTGGTAACCGTTTCCCTTACAGCCAATTTGCCAATTTTTCCTCCTAACAAACGGTGATAGCTTCAAATGGCACCAAGATTTTCTATTCATCTCCCCTTTTTCCTGTTTTTTGTCTCCGTTTACAGCAGTCATTGTGATCAAAACGAATGCATAAAACATATTGATGTCTTTCACGTACAGTGAAAGACATCAAAATTAATTTGGGTTTGTGATTGTAACGAAATGTGAAAAAGTTCAAGGCCGTGAAGCAGCAAGTATCACACACAGGCAGGCATGCAGAGCCTAACCTCAACGGAGGAGGATGGAGGTGGAGAGGAAGAGGAGCTATCGGAGCATTTGGGTCCGGTGGAACCTTCCTGATGTTAAAAACCAGTTTTGGTTTATTTCATTTTTGCACAGTGAAACAAATATTTCAAAAAAACAAACAAAAAAAACCATGCGTCACGTGCATGCCTGACCTCTCTTTCTTGACTTCCGCCGCGGGTCGTTTTGGCGGCGGAGAGGCCGGTTGAGAGTGAGGGTGTCGAGAGGAAGACTCTTTACCGTCCTTCCTGATAGCACATCACAACAACAGCACAGATGTGAGCCCGGAACCACAACAGGCGCAGCAGCGCGCTGCTCTGTCCGAGCATGTAAACACACACCGCGGCATGCACCACGCACAGCAGAGCCTCCAGGTGTACAACTGTGAGGGCTGGTGTCGGGACGTGTGAGGAGCCAAGAGCCTGTTGAGTCATGCGGTTAGCAGCGTCGGCAGGTTAGCGCGCGATCGGCTCGGACAGGGGTCCTGACCTGGTGTCTTTTTTCGAGTCCAGAGACGGACGTTTGACGGGCAGAAGAGGCCGAGCGGGTCGAGGTGGGGAGGGGAAGCGGGTGGGGTACAGTACGCTGCTGTCCAGCACTCCTCTCCTGAAATTCATAGTTCAGCCTGAAGTTTTGGGAATCCTTTGTGAGTACTTTGTCAGTGTTTGGGCCAACGGCTCCTCACCTTTCAAAGATTAGCTTGTGAGCTTCAGCGGGCTTCCCTCTCTGAGGTGTGCCGACAGGCCACTCGTGTCTGCCTTCCGCTCTGCTTTTATCCTGCTTCCCGTCGTCTGCGTATCTCCTAGGCTCCTCGGGAGGTTTCTCTTTCGTTATCAGCTCTGCGTTTCTCGTCTTCTTCAAATCCTCCAGCGATCTGTGCTTGACTGGGTCCGACTTGTGTTTTCCACTCTGCAGGTCTGCTGCGTGCCTCTGTTTCTTGTTATCTGATTCCGGTTGGGGATTCGCTGCAGGTGTTTGTTTCTCTGCTCTGATTTCTTGAAGGTGTTTCTCACTTTGGTGCCCTTCGAGGTGTTTTCCATCCACCCCGGGATCGTCCGCATGCCTCTTTTTGTTTATGTGGTTGTCGTTCTGTTTTTCATTCCTGCTTTTGTCAGAATCTGATCCATGTTTCAGTTTGGCCTCCTGCCTACTGTGACTAAAAGAGACACATATTTTCCCTGTTGTGAAGAGGTAAAGGTTTTTTTCCCTCCACTTTGGAGTATTTCATACTCAGGAAAGGCTGCTGTGCTTTGCAGAAGGATTGTCGTGTTAAAGCTGGATTTTATGTGACAGACTAAAACAAAATGCATGACTGCGAAAATGAGGCATAACAGACATGACTTTTTGCAAATAAAGATCTAAAAATAAAATAAAAATCTAAAAAGTGCATTTATATTGAGTCCTCTTTAGTTTGGTACATTAACAACCAATTGCTTTCGGAAGTCTCCTCACTTTTTCCTTGTTAGTAATTTTAAAAAGATAGTTGTTTTACTCAGTGGGGCTAAAGGTGCTAATGTTGGTCTCAGATATAAAATCACAAATAGAAGTTAACATAATGAATACCTTTTTGAAAAGCACTTTAAACAGAGAAATTGTTGCATTTGTTGCATAAAGCAGTTTCCCTGCAGGTGATTATTTCTAGCGTAGCTTAAATACCTTCAGTAATCTTGAAGCCCTGCTAAAAGGCTGGGAACTAAAACATCTGAGACCCTTCAGGTCTCACTCTGTCCTTGTGATTTGGAGTTTTTCTTTCGAGTTTCGCCTCTTATCTGTGGAGCCCAAGGTTTTCATGGTTGGTCTCACAGCTGCAGAGCTGTTCCAGGTATCAGCAGCTTTCAAAACACCCGAGGGAATAAGGGACTAATGGTGGAGGAGTGTGCAGAATATGTCTTGAGGGAATATTTTTAACTAAGTATAACTGAGATAAATATTGTGTCAATTTGCCTCCCGTTTTCTACATGAACGCACACCCAGATAAACTTTAGGACAGGAAATTGATATTTGTAGACATTCAATCGGAGAATGTTACAAATTGGCCAGACCACAACGGGCAATTGATAAGTTGGAGCAACAATTTCTGAAGAAAAACTGAATTTGTTTTGATTGATATGTTGAGCGTATTCAGTTTATTCAAGACAGTTGTTCTGCTTCTCGGTGGATTAAGTATCTGTTACCACTAGATGGCGCATTGGTACCCATCAATCAGATTATTTTATCTGTGCAGATTGGGAATGAAGTGTTTGCTTTTGTTTTTGTGGATTGTTATTATAGTTAGCTAAGAACAAAAACTGATGACTGTCTCCATGACTGCGTTCTTTTTATTCCACCAGAGAAAATAATTTGCCCATCTTGGGTTTGATAAAAACACAGATTGTACATGTGCTGCTTCTGACAGAACCTTCTGTCATAATGTACATCCAGTTCGTATGTTGTAATATCAGTATAATGCAGCTTGTGTTTCCAAACGTCATCAGACTGACCTGCTCTGTGGCTCTGAGGAGGAGCTGTTTGTAGCTGCTGCAGGTTTCCTGGCGTCCAAACCATTCTTCAGTTCGTCAACTTTCTCAGAGTGAGAATTTCCAGAGTCTGGCAGAGTTAGAGGGAGACAGGAAGGCAGATAATTCAGCCTCACAATGCAGGCGAATATCAGAAAATGGCAATAACTTAAATATTATACTGATTTATTAAACATGGAGCAATAAACGTCAATGATTTACTTCTGTTCATTTTAAATATTATGGCTCACAGCAGATGAAAACCAAAATTTTAAAAAGAAAATAAAATTAAAATCTTAGATAAGACAAACCTCCCGCCCCCCCCCCCAAAAAAAAAAATAAAAACAAAAAAAAGAGCAAAAGCAACAGGGATAACCACAGAGGTTCGAGAAGCAAAGTACACTCAAGAGTTTTGAGAAGATTCACAGGGAATGACGGCCGGAGTTAAGCTTCAAGAGCCACCAAGGACAGACGTCTCCAGAACTCGGGCTACAACTAATGCAGTGTCAAAAAGGGTTAAAAGTGTCTTACCTGAGCTTTGGACACAACAAACTAGACTGCTGCTTTGTAATCCAAAACCTGGTTTTCAGGTAAAAGTGATCAAGTATTGGCACAGGCTGCAGCAACCTTGGGCTTCTAGAAACCTCATGTTGATCGCCTCCACGCCTAGCTGCACTGATGCAGTAATTTATACAAAAAGAAGTTGCAACCAAATATTTATGATTCGTATCATAACCAGCAGGTTGACATTTCTAAATAGTTTAGAAGTTATTTTTATTGACCTTGTGTAATATTCTGATTTAATATTTTGACTTTCTGCTGTATCCACTAAAATAGTGTAAATCTTTGTAATAGATGAGTTTCCTTTGCTGAAGTATTAGTAACCTGTCTGTAATACTGTAATTATTACAGACCTGCATATTAAGGATTCAGTTAGTCCAGTAACTGCGTGTCCGGTTAGAGGTTCTCACCCAGAAGTCTCTTCCATTCTTTAATAAGGACTTTTGCCAAAGAGATGACTTCTTCGTCTCTGCAGTGCTTCCTGATGTTGTTCACAGACATGCCAATTCTTGTTTCCTGCAGCAGCAACAACAACAACAACAAAAAAAGAGGTATTTTGAACTTCCTTACGCCTCCATGTTGTTGCCAGACTTTTTGGATGAACAGCAGTCATAGTTTACCTGGAGAAGCTTCAGTGTCATATTGAAGCCTTTCAACTCCTTCAGCAGGTCGATGGCACCCTCCTGCATTCACAGAAAACATTACAGTTGCTTTAACCCTGCGATACTCACTGAATGCACTGCAAACATGCAATGGCAGAGTAAACAGAGATCTGCATACACTCAACCGGGCGCCAATTAAAAAGTTTTTTTTTTTTTTTTTTTGCTTGGTGGGTAAAAACACTTTCACTTCTGTACAGTCTCAGCAAGCAAAGTGAGAAAATGCATAAAGCTCGAGTAGTTAACTTAACGACAGAGGGTTAAGTCAGCCGCGCTGAAACTTGCTAAACGTTTCTGCAGGACTGTAGGAGCGCCAAGAAACTTTATCTTTTTTTTTTTTTTTTTTTTTGCAGAAGCAGACACAAAACTCAGGCACTACGGGGCTACTGTAAATCAACAGGCCGCGCTGTTTACTTTCTGTTGCACAGGGCGAAATGAGACGATCGGAGAATAACATGTAAAAAAAAGTGTCAAGTCAAACTGTCCAAGCTTAAGCCGTGCAGCTACACACCGAGGGGGCTGCAAAAAAAAAAAAAAACAGATGCAAGCCAGCAAACACCTGTCGATCGTTTGTTACAGAACAGACACGCGTTTGTTCCACTCATGCAGACTGACTCCCATCGAGTCAGACTAAAACCAAACTCCTCTTCAGAGTAAACTTTCTGTCCTTTCTGGGCCTTCCCTGCTGCAGCACGAGGTGACAAAGCGCCACCGGGTGTCAAAATACAGCCTCACCGTGTTATTTGTAGACACCATCTTGTCTAGCTTTTTGGCGATCCGGATCAGGTCCTCCTCTCGAGTCATCGCTGCATTTATAGTCTCCGACGAACTAATGCCGATACCAAAACCAATCGACACCCAAAAGAAGCGACAAAGTTTGGATCTGCTGCGGTCTGGAGTTTACGCACGGTGCGCTCCATTCAATCCAGAGGCGTGTCCTGCTGAAGGTCCCAGCTGACCAGCGCCACAACAAGCAGCCTAAATATAGAGGCTGGCGTAGGGGAGGCGCAGAGAGCGGCGGCGACACAAGCCACAAGGTGATTCCTTCGGAGCAAAGCTCAGAAAGTTGCGCTTGGTGCTCTAAAGTTCCGCCTTTAAAACAGGAAATTAAAGGCTTCAGCTACTTTGTTTTAAAAGTCTCTGGATGTGAATTGAAATGTTTCATACACTTTCGAGTTGTGCTTCAGGGTCCCATACTCTTGCAAGGTCAGCGTGTAATGATTAATCTTTGCAAACCTGACGGCCATCCCGGTTGCAGTCCACTTGGAAAGTATTTGCACATCTGCGCCAAAAGCAGCTGCTGTGCGAAAGAGCAGTCTGACGCAGAAACATGAACCTGTGTGGCTCACAGGGACAACTTTAGGGATAAATTTTTATTTTGTTTTGTTTTTGTCTTATCTTGAGGAAAATGCATTTCTTGTCTTTAGAGAGAAAGTACAAAAGAGGGCTAAAAATGTAGTAATTAAACGTAACGCATGCAGTAAAGTAAAATAAAATAAACATGACATTGTAACTTAGCCACCAGAGGGAGCTCTAGACTAAGGAGTCATTTTCAGATGCGGACTCAACATTTCCATAACTGCTTCAACCTGTAGAGGGCAGTGTGGACAACTGTTCTTAAGACGCGTATATTTATATCTCTCTGTCGTTCGTTAGCTTGTTGAGTTCAGCCAGTTCTTGGTTGATATATTTGCTCTTTTTCGGTTGCTCAAATACCAGAGCCGCTCATATTTTTACATCTTTTTTTTTTTTTTTTTACAGATGAGCTTTCCATCTGCTGATAGTTTAGATGTGAATCATACTGTTGTAGAGTGCATGCAAGGCAAAATGATAAATGTATGAAACACAGGGCCTCAGTTAGTCAGCTGTGAACCCTGTGGGTCTTGCAATGTTTGTAGGGGAAATAGTGAAACAGCAATAAACCTGCTTGGTCATTGTGTGCAAAATGAACAGATTGGCAGGGATTACATGCAGATTTGTCTCGGATGGATTTTGGACATTTTCTCTTTGGCGTTACAGCTTGTAATAAGAGCAAATGAGACGTGAATCATGCCACATATGTTTGCCTGATTTGCCTCCGAAAGATCTGTGAGTAAGAAACATCAGTTTAATGAAAGCCACACAGATCTAGCTGCTACTATGGCCTCTGTCACAAACGTCTAACCACCGTTACCGGCGATGTCGTACACTAACCAGCTTGGATTAAGGAAATCATGGCTTAAAAGTGTATTAAATGTATCTTTCTGAAACTTTAGATGACAATGTAACTATTCAGACTGCTGTTTGAGCAGAAATGCTACCTGGAAAGATTATTGTGAGAGCATTCGAGGAAAAGTCTCCAGGCCAATAAAACCATTTCCAAGCTCCGGTAGTTCTGAGTTCCAGATCAAACTCCCATCAGCTCAAACTACTCGTCTCACTTTAGACGCTCTACTAATGTTGATTTGAGATCAAGATGCTTCGTTCCCAAGGTTTCACACAGTCGTATGTCACCAAGCTGTTCACGATGAAATGATTCAGCTTGTTGAGTCAGTGGAAAACGACAATTGGCGGCCTGTTGCAAGGCTCCATGCTTTTCCTCGGGACTGAACAAAACCTGAAACCCAATTTGTAAGACAGAAATTGGCGTTTTAAATGACCATTAAAGACTCGGTGACTCATCGGGCAAAGCTCTGTTCTTTTGTTGCTGTTGTTGTTGCTGTTTTGAGCAATCAGATCCAGCAAATCTGCTCTTGATTCCAAACTTCTTCTATTTATGACTCATCCCGCCGTCACACAGATGTTTTGATCTCATTGACGGACCATTAAAAATCAGCTCTGATTTTCGCAGACGTCAGTCCTGTTTAAATCAGGCTCCAATATTAAATCACGAATCAAACAATTTCCAGTCAATTTGGGGAGATCAGAGATCCAAATAAACATATAAATGGATAAGTGTCGGAACTTTAGAAACTAGACACTCAGGAGTCTGTGCAAACTGAACAGTAAACCAAAGAGACTTAGACACACGTGCCTTTTGTCTCACGGCCTGAAGTTAAATCAGGCCAAATTTATTTTGTTTTAGGTCAGCTAGAATCACAGAACTGGTCTGATTTAACTCCAGACAGTCAGAAAAAAGGCACATGTGAATATGTGGCTTCATCTTCTCTCACAATCTGGAAACTTTAACTTGGTGCTGGACGATGATCAGAAAATGTGTTCTTAATAACCACTCAAGCACCTTTCTGCTCAAAGTTACTGTTAATCCTGCTGCTGGGGGAAATAAAGCAAATATGTTGAGAATGTGAAAGCTCTTTGCCCAGGGTGAGCTGGTACATCTGAAAACAATGTGGTCATATTTTATAGCTTGCTGACTGTTTTCACTCATAATTTCTTGCAGATATGAAACTTTATCCACCCAAACCTGAGTCCTAGATTTGATCTGCAAGATGTGAATAATTCTGGATCTATATCAAAACTTACAGTGGAAAGGATTTTGATCTACCCGTCTTTAAAAAAAAAAAAAAAAAAAAACATAAGAGGCTGTTAACTATTCGGACAAAATCCTAATAGTTAGCTTTTTTTTTTTTTAAAGCTTTCAGTCATAAAATCTTTAAATTTGCAGCTCGGTCCATTTATCTGAGCACAAACTGTGGCACTTTTGTCTGCAGCACAGGGATTTGAAGATAACTGTGTTAATGACCGCAGGTGAAAGTACAGACAAAGAGCTTGTCTTGAGCAAAGCGTATTATCTCTTTACACTGCTCTTACACAACAGGCTGAGCGCCATCCACCCGCCTCTGCCCCCTCTGCCTCTTCCTCCCCCCGTCTGGGAGGCAGACTCGGTGCCGGCCAGCTCGGGAAGTGGGGCGGATCACTGTGAGGTAAGAGGGGAAGCAGGTTAAGAGGAAGAACCAGCGATCAAGATCAACCTGCGACATCCTGTAGCTTCATGTACCAAACCTACATGCATCAGAAGCTGTGCTCCTGCCATGACCTCTGACCTGGCCCCAGATTACAGACTGTCCGAGCTTGTCGTTATTAAAAAAAAAAAAAAACAGGCTTAGCCGTTTTATCATTTGTTGGTTATAGTTCCACTTGAAACTGATGGTCATTGTTGGAAATATTTCGTCTCAGGATTTGTCAGGTTGGGCTTGGAACTCGTTCTGTAATACTCGTACTTTAAACTTTTGCGTTCAATGTTGAGTTGCATATGAACCGGAATCACTTTCATCATCATTAAAATCAACGTTGCACGTGTCATATAAGCTAAGCAAAGAAGCTTACACTTTATACTCCTTTAGAAAAGCATTTCCTGGTTTTGTGTGCCTGTGGCTACAGATAGGAAGTGTGCTTCCTCCAAGTACTTCAACCGATGGAGACGCGTAATGTGGTGAGCTTGTAGATGACAGAGCTACAAAGGTGCCAGCCAGGTGCAGCTTAGAGCACAAAACAGCTGAACTGTTGCTGCCCATTTCTTGTTTATGTCTGTCTTTTGGATAACAAAAGGGATTATTCGCCGCTGCAAGTCCACTTGCAGCATGTAATCCCGTAGGTAAGCAGTGGTTTGATTCGTGACTTGCTCCACAACAATCCCTCCCTAAGTAGATGTGTAAGCAGCTCTTGCAGCTACAATAATAACTTTTCAGATTATTTTATGCAAACGGTGGTTTTGTTTGCAGCATCCACTGGGCAGAAGCTCGTAAAATGATTAAAATCTTCATTGCTCTGCAAATTTTAAATAATCATATATTTTTACCAATCCTTGACTTTGCGTCATTTTTTTTTCATTTTCATTTCAAGCTTCCGTCATCCTTAATGTTTTTCATAGAGTCGGCATGTTTACAGTCAAACCTCCTTTGGTGCTCCACTGAGCGAGATAGAGAACAGGCACAAGGGGAGAAGCTTATTTTAAATGCAAACATCTCATGACACCATTGTAGTTGTTCTCACTGCCTATGTGAGCAACTCAATAAAAAAAAAAAAAACTAAATGACTGCATTACCACTTTAATAAGAACAAAAGCTCTAACGCGATAAAGGTTCAAAATTATTTGCATCGCTACAAACAGTTTAGCTTTGTGTGAATGTCCAGACTCCAGAGTACAAAAACATAGCCGTAAAGAAACTGCAATATTGTGATTTAACCATTTTCCAGACTGATTCAGGCAGCGCGGATGAGTCATGCAGAGATCTGGCAGCCATTGTTCAACTCAGACACAATCCAACTATTTTTATGTCTTTTTTTTCTTCAACTGGCAGTTAGCTGCTGGCTTGGGGATAGAAAGTTTCAAAGCCTGTCAAATTCCAATGAAAATATTTGCGCAACCCATTAATCAATAGCTTGTAGATCCGCATTTTGGAAAAAGTAACTTGAAGTAGTCATTTTCTGCCTGGCTTGACCCAGTTTAGATGCTCTCACATTTGATCCATGGAGGGGGTCGTGTTCAACTTAAGGACTCCAAGCCGCACAGGTCAAACGAGTCCATATCATAACCCCTCCACCACCGTGCTTAGCGGCCAAGTGATGCGTCTGTGTTGACGTACTGTGTTTGGCTGCCTCCAAACGTGACCTACTTGGTCACATTGGTACAAAGCGTATTGTTCCAGATGTCTTGTGACTCGGGTTGGCAAACATCTGAACTGCTGCCATGTTCTTTTCGCAGAGGCTTTCACTCTTTGTCACATTTATTCCGTTTTTTTCTATTTGTACTGAAACGAACTTCAGCATTGGACATGCTAACCGAGGTGTGAAGATGCTGAAATTATTATTATTATTTGCTGAGATTAGTCTCCAAATTTGTAAAGTCCACATCTTCTAACATTAATTAACATTAAAGAATGCATAACTCTCTCTGTGCCAACACAAAAACGAAAAGTTTTAAAACAAAGATTTAAAAACAAACATCTCCACTTGTTTCAGCCCATTAACACTGGTTACAGTGACGCTGTTGTTGGGATAAGTCTTAACAGAACCAAAAATAAGACACCAGTCAACAGGTAAAGTGAAACTGTATTTACCACAGGCTAAATGGGGAGGAAGTAGTGGCTGGAGCAGAGGCCAGGAGGAG